CACCCATGCTAGCTATAGCAGGTGAGCCGGTATTAGGGAGGCATTGGATACATCCGCCAATAACGGATCCAGGGAAGGTGTCTAAAAATGCCAGGCGTACTATAATAACCACAGAGCTGGAAACCTCTGACAACTAGCTGGTCAAATATCAGAGCAGTTATCCTAACATATGCTGGCTGGGCCTGACCAAAGCATGTGTGTAGCGCCTGTACTCAAACAGCTAAAATAAGAGGGATTCTGTGAAGGAAGACTTTTAAGATTCACCAGAGAATTGCTATTAAAAGCTCCACTCTGACCTTCTCTAGACTTCCCCCATTTAAGCGGAGAAGCAAATTAGCCTCAACAGGCATTTCTATTTAGAAGGGGGACGGGAGACAAGAGCCCACATTTGAACACTTAAGGTCTCCAACAAACCCACCCATAAATCATCTCAGGGCAAAGCTGTCACCCTGTCTGTATCTTCTAATTTGCCTTTTAAACGGATGGGACCCCAAGACTCCTCTCTCCTCAGGGTGGTGAGTAGGGGTGTGAGATATATGAAGAACAAAGAATGGTGGGTTCCTTTTCCCTTACTAAAGGCAGGTGTAGTAGCAGTATCTGCATTGAGATCTTTGCTTACTTTGAAATACCAGATTGCAAACAGGTAGATGGAATAACTATGTGTGAGAACCCCTAAACCCACATGAAGATGTGTCTATTAAAAGAACAGAAGAATGAATCTATTACAGAAAGGCTAAGTGTGTGATTGATGGCACTCACATGTGCTCTCGTTTTTAAAGCCCCATTTATTTAGTGGCTGTATCTTTATATTAAAAAAAAAAAAGCTGGAGAATCAGTGCAGTTCTAATTTTTTTTCAACCAAGACACTGTTTCAATTAAAAAAAAAAAATTTACAGTGACTGACAAACACACAAATCACATACAAAAAAAAAAAAAAAAAAAGCCAGCTATTTTATCCTTTCAACGTGGTTACCAAGGCTCCTTTGTGTCTACAAATTTCTCAGGGTGGTGCTGTTGCCAAGAAATTCTAATTCATGATAAGGTTTTCTGCAAACTGAGACAGTGGCAAACCTGCGGATGGCCAGATCCTGCAGTTTGCTTTGTCTTTCTGAGGTAGCACCTGGCTGCCCCAGCCTGTGGAAGGCAATGCAGGGGCAGGACACACATAGGAAGAAGAAGTCACAGACCAAATCCCAGCTCCCGGCACCATGAGGCTGTTCTTGGAAGGCAACCATTTCTGTAGGTTTTCCCCTAGAGATGCCTCATACCAAAAGCCCTCATAAAAATTGCTTCGGGATGCCTGAAACCAAGATGAAATTGCAGAGTTACAGGGACACTTTAGTCTTTACACAAGCCAAGTATGCCATTAGTTTAAAACAATGGGGGAATAGAGGCGGAGGGACGAGTGTTCTATGATTTATTTATTTGTTTCCAGTAGCAGTGGAAAATTTTCTCCAAGCAAAAAGGAGGCCTGAAATTGACCCCATCTGCCAATTATGAATCAGCATTAACAATAATCATAATTCCATAAGAGTCTTCAAGTAAACATGCCACACTTCTCAGTGACATGTAGCAAAGTTCGGTGCAAATCATAGTCAGTGTCGTCACTTGGACTGTCCTCATGAAACAGCATACTGGGAATAAAGAATCTATTAAAAAAACAAAAGTCTAAGTCTCTGTAGAGACTGGAAGAAAATGAAGGTGCTCTATGAAATGCTTTTTTTATTTTCTGAGTCAGCAGCCAGTTCAAAGAGTCCTACTTCTCTTGTGACATTATGGATGTATCTCCCTTCATCATCAAATGGTACCCTAAAACCTACGCTAGCTTCTGCCCTGTTCTTAACGCTTTTCAACTTTTGCTCAAACAGCTTACATTTCCTACAAGTTTTCAGAGAGCTTAAGGCTGGTAGCCTTCAGAGTTGTGTCAGCTGAATCCCATAAAATAACAGACCGCATAAGCACAGTGTAATTTACAGTTACAAGACAGGCAGAGATGATATTTTGTGGGCCAACTGCTTAAGCACGCAGTTTGAGTTTGATTTCAGAGACGGGAGTGCTTGATTTGGGATGTCCATTTGGGTTTTTAATTACGCCATCAACGGTTTGGGGAGTTGGGACTCAGCCATGGTTGAGTATCACTGCCTAAGTGAGAGGAGGTAGTCCTGTCATAATCAATGTCTTTGTCACAGGCTCCTGGACGGGGGAAACTAGCCCATGGCCTAAGTTTGAAGCAAAGTTGATAAAGAGCCCCACCTCAGTTTTTCAGTGCACAGATGTTCTGGAGTTTATCATCCAAAGCCATTCTCTAAAAACCAAATTAGATTATCAGGATCTCCACCCACCCTGACCCCCACCCCAGTGCCCCCAAATGTCCCTGAGGCCAGGGAGATTGCTCACTTTAAGAAAAACATCTAATAATGGTTCCTCACTTGACCTCTAAAATCTGATTACTCCACAGCATCAGAAAACTTCCTCCTGCCTAGGTTTTTTTGTAGCAACCTTGAGTTTTGAGCAAAGGAGTCTCAAAATTTCACCACCTGGTTAATTTTGAACTAACAGTTGCATAAAACCACCACTACCCCTTAGACTCAGAAGAAGGGGGGTGTGGGGAGGGGGAGGAAGGAAGAGATAAAGGCTAAAGGTTTTGTCATCATCATGAACTCAGGGTCCTGGTTACCTTTGAACAGAGCAGCTATGACCAGAGTCCGGAGCAGAGAGCTCCTGGCAGTGGTTATGCTTCCATGAGGACGCGGAGAAGGATTTTAAGATGAGAGAAGATGGCAGTTGGAAACAGTTGAGGCAAGAAATACGAAAGAGGACGGAAGTGAGAATTCCTTTGCCTGGTGATAAAAACTAAGCAAGAGGTTTCTAGAAGGGGGAGGAGGATGGGGGAGGAGGAAGAGGGAAGAGGGAGGGGGAAGAACAGCAGAGCTGGCTTCTGAGGAAACAATAGATCTAATACATCCCCTAATTGTCAAGCCAATGATGCTTCCTTGAAGCTGTACTTTCTGGATCCTCTAGGCAGATCTAGAAAAGCAGGTTTCCTCTGAAGAACTCCCCCCTCCCCCCAAACTCCCCACCCCACAAGCAGGCTTTACAACCGTGAAAACTTGAACCAAAACAAAGTTGTGTGATTCATCTGGAGGGAACGTTGTAACAAATAAAGCCAACTTTCTTCCCTCCAACACTGCATAACAGTTAGTCACAAACAAGGGCTGCCTGGGGCAGGCTGACTAAATCAACAGATTCCCTACCCTAACCAGTCTAGACTGTAGTTAATATGCAACTGATTCCACACCAATGGGCTGACAGTGTGAAAAGAAGGCTGTTTAGAAACCGAAATTCTGGCAACGTTTTGGCTTACTTCCCATGCAAAAGGAAAAAAAGGGATGTAGTGAGATCCCTCCTGAGGCATAGTCTTGTTAAGGATGAGAGGAAAGGCTGCCTTAAAGAAATGATGTGTGTACTGTGCCTGCCCAGTTAGCAAAGGACAGCATCCGCTAGCCTTCCGACTGGAATGTATGCCCTGCACAGACACACAGACACAGGCGGCCAATACCTGGAGGGAAACGGCCGCTTACAGCCACGCAAGAATTAGTAACAATGGCACACAGTCTTAAGAGTGAGTGTTTTACCACTGGCTCCATACACCATGAGCTATAAACATCTCTTCCTAAAGCAGCAACTGTTATATCCCAGCCTCAAGCTGGCAAATCCTGCTTTGGATCCTGGCAGAGGAAACTCAGCCGTTCATTAGCCCTAACAAGCTGCTGTCACTGAGTGGAGAAGTTGCAGGAGCAGCCACACACCAAGGATGGCTCGGCCATCCTCACGGGTAAGCCGTTTTCTCCAGGATGGACTGGACAAGTTCACACACCTGGTGTGAAAATCCAGACTGTCTTCCTGGACTTTCCACTGTGCACACAGTAGAGTTTTTAAACACCCACGGTGTCCCCTCTCCACAGCCACCCCGCCCCCACCTACCACCATCTTTCCTGCAGAATGTCCCCTCAGCAGCTCCTAATCGCTGCTGGAAAAACCACTGTTTCCGCAGCAGACCCAGCACTTTCCACTGACCAGCAGTTTCTTTATTCCACTTCACAAAGCCCAGTGAACTTGTCCCCGGTCAGGCTTCAACCTCCCCGAGACGCCAAGCCAACTTGGCACTGGTACTCTTTAGCATCCTAGGAGTTTCTTAACTAGTCCTCTAAGACAAAAGTCGAAAGCACGGAGGCACATGACCCTTTGTCCAAGGTGATGCTAACCTGAGCGGCACCCCAAAGGAAAAAGAGAGGCGAGGAGACAGTAGAGGCTGCTCTCTCTGGAGCTATTAGCTGGGGAAGCGTACAATGCCTGTCAGCCTGAAACAGATGCATCTTCCCATTTTCCTGGTACACATCCTTAAGCATCTTTTGTCACCTGGTTTCTCTTCCTTACAGCTCACCGTCTAATCTGAAAACCGAGCTCCTATTCTTTATTGGCACTCGCTAAATTACTGGGGGGCGAACACCCCGTTGCCCCCCAACCAACATCTGACGGTTCTTGGCACCAGTTGAAACAGATGAACCTGATTTAAGTACCAAGAAGGTCAAAAACTCTTGCATTTAGGAACGTGCTATCCTGTCAACCACTGCTCGACCACCTTCCCACCCGGCTCCTCCAAAGCCCAGAAGTTCGCCAGCAGGTCTCTGCCTGGGGGGACAGCGAGCCGACCAACGCGTGCTCCAGGATGTGTGTTGGTGACAGAAACGCAGGCAGCTACGACCGGCTCAGCTCAGCTCAGCACACCAAGGGGTTAGGAGGGTGGGTGGAGAGGTTAGCGCCTATGATTGTCTCAGAAAACATTTCCAATAACACCCAGCCGAAAATAAAAGAAATTCTAAGGGAAGAAGAAAAAAAAAATTTAAAAAAAATCTCCGACTCCAGCCCCACACCGACGCAGCCCCTGCGTCTCCGCCGCCGCCGCGCCACGATTTACACAAGTAATTTAAATCATTCACCTGCTGCCAGGTCTCTTCCAGGGACGGCAAAGCTGAGAAGTAGCCGGTGTCGTGGACAAGCTGTAGCTCCTGGAATATACTATAACTAGCCAACACGTCCATGTTGCTGCTGCCGGGCAAAAGCGGAGGAGAAGCCCTCCCCCGAGCTCAGCTGGGTCTGTTTGTTTGTCAGTCTGTCTGGCTCACCCCCCAGGAAGGCAGACATCCAGTGGCCCTTTTGTTTTGTTTTGTTTCAGTCAACTAAAAAAAAAAAAAAAAAAAGGAGAGAGAGGGAGAGGAAAAAAAATCAATGCAGGAGAGGGAGAGAGGAGACGAGAGAGGAGCGAGTTGAGCGGGGTGGATGGAGAGAGTGATCCAGCTTTTACAGTGCAGATGACTGCCAGGAACAGGGGACTTCACGGGAGTAACAATTCCCTTCCAGGGCTCTAATCACTCCAGCTCGTGGCTCAGGAAGGGGGACGCAAACTCACTGACACGAAGCTGCCATCTATATCTGCAGCGCTGTTTCGCTCCTAATGCAATCTTTGCTCTTTATTTTGGGAGGTTGCATTTCTCTCTCTTTCTCTCTCTCTCTCTCGCGATCGCTTCTCTCTCTCTCTCTCTCTCT